TGCATCGTACACAACATCAATATTCCACTTGTACAGGATCTTTTCCTGTTTGTGTGGATACAGATTGTCCGACAGACTCGCGTCCGGCATACTTGCGTCAAATCCCGACATCTTGCACGATCAAATTGCGATCGCACGTGTCGAAAACCTTGTACTTGAATAGTTTCTTTTGGAACGTAAAAACTCATATTTCGTCATATCCCAACACTTGCGCTGTATCTGTTCATTCGTTGAAATGCCATGTCTGCCAATTATCCATCCATGCTTCATGGCCAGCATATTTTCCAGCAAAAATCTGGATCATCTCGCCTTTGAGAGCGCGTAAATCTACCATCTTTTATCTTATGATGATTGTTGCATGGTGTTTTTCCTCCGTCGTACTGGGTACGTGTACTTGTTGACAATGAAACGGAGTTGTTGCGTGTTTTCAACATGAAAGTATTTGAAATTTTCTCGGTCATCGCTAATGTTGAAATGAAGGGTCGGCGTGCGCGCAAGGTAGATTTTGTCGTAGATTTTGTCGTAGGGTTGTCGTAATTTGTTGTAGGGTTGTCGTAATTTGTCGTAGCTTGTCGTAAGTTGTCGTAAATATTTTACGACAAAATTTACGACAAAATTTACGACAAAAGGCTTGTCGTTAATTATAACTCCACTGTTTCGGAGAAATAAAACAATGTTTTGCCCCCTAAATAATTCTATGTACCCGTAAATGATGGAGGAATTCGATGGAACAAAGTGGAGCTTGAATTCGATGTCTCCGTGCTGAGGGGGGAGGAAAAGTATGTCTGTCTCCCGTCACACTTTGGTTTCACTACAATCCGAGGCGTGTCCCAGCACCGACATCAGCTGGTAAAATTGATACTCTGTTGACAACTCAATTCATTGTTATCGGGGAAATTCCAAAACCAATAAACAATGGGTTCAGCTACTGTTCTTCCAGGCGAGGATGTATCAGATATTGTGAAACATCTTCTAAAAGGCAATCCAAGACTGGGGATTGGTCTAAGAAAAGAAAATAATTCCGTAATCTCAACCATTGCAGGGAACCTGCAATATCGATCGGACATCGTCTTTGTAAATCAAAACACTCGACGTTATCGACCAAGTGTTGAGGATCGAGTCATTGCAGTTGTTGAAGAGAGGGTCGCTGGTGACGGTGCAGGTGGAGATGTTTACCGAGTCAATATCGGTGGCCCTCATCCAGCCCTACTCAGCAATCTAAGCTTCGAAGGGGCCACCAAAAGAAACAAACCCATGTTGGCATCTGGTATGTTGGTTTTTGCCCGAGTCGTAACATGTCCCCGATCGATGGACCCAACATTATCTTGTCAATTGGGAAGTTTTGATGTAGGAGTCCCCCGCAAAGATTGGATGACAAATGAAGGGACATATGGTGAATTAATTTCGGGTACTTGTTGCAAGATTCCACTTGGACTAGCTCGGCAACTGCTCGCGCGGCGAAATGTTGTACTACAAGAACTAGGTAGATATTTGGCTTTTGAAGTTTGCGTCGGCGTGAATGGATATGTCTGGATGCATAGTTCAAAGGCAGAACACACAGTCTTGGTCCAGAATGCAATACTGAACTCGGAAGTATTGACAGAATCCCAAGTGAGGGGGATGGTCAAGTCCCTTGTGGAAACTGTGAATAGGAGAGTTGAGGATAGAGGCGATGAAATCGAACCTTAAGTTGCGGTTAAAGACTTGAGAACAATTGTGGTGTTTACTTCAGTATCCCAAGTTGACTCACTGGAACTGGGTATCCTGATGGGATCTACAGAAAAAGGAAAGGCAGCAAGAAAGAACAACAAAAAAAGACTAGTACTGAAGCTCACAATTCACCTGGACTTCATGATACTGGTATACCGCCTGGTGCAGTATGGTTCTCAGGTACAGTACAATACAATACAATGAAGGGCCTTCGCACGAATGAAATTAATCCCTATATCAAACTTCTAGCACTGATAGTAGTGATCTCTGTTGGAAATGATGATTGTCTCCTTTCATATACCAGTATTAGAGAAATTTTCTCTTCTGCCAAGACAGTAACAACAAAGACCTTTCCAATGACACACTTTTGTCAGTTTTATCCACGGAGCTCCTGATGAATGTAAACTTCCTTTTGGGCCTGACACAAAGTTTGGACCAAGTTGAAAGTCTCCCAGTGGATGTTGAGCTTAGATTTTGCATCGCGATTAAGTGAATTCATGATGCATTCATAGAGCATTCTGTCATCTTGACTCTTGCGGTTTCCACTGTCCCAATAGCTGCGCTCATTATGTTGGATTTGTGGCAATGAAACTGACCCATAGCTATGTAGCAAGTTGACAGGTTGTCTTCCTGGTGTTAGTACCCAAAAGAGCCCACCAGGGTCGTTCCATCCAAAGTTATTGCCTCGATGTTCCAAAGCCTTCATGATTTGAAGGAATTGATCTGAAGCACACTTGAAGCCTTCGTTGTCAAGCTTTGATGTTGCCTTGTTGAAGATGCTCTTATCTGACTTCTTTTTGTAGCAAAGGATCCTACCCATACTTGCCAATCCTGGTGTTAGAGATCCAGGTTCTTCACCATTGGGATCCCCCCAAACAAAATACGCATCTGGCCCAAATCCGTATTTTTTGTGTAGTCTAGTTTTGAAGTTTTAATGATTATAAGGTCATTGCTGACCCCTCAGGGACTGTAAAAACGAGTTTCACCTTGGCAGCAGTGTTTTAAGGTCTGGAGTTCAACCGCGCGCAAAAACTTCAAAAATATGCATGGATACGTTAAATTGAGTAGCGATTTGGGACGAAAACGAGTACGATGACAAACATGGGGATTTTACAAGATGTGTGCGAATCTCTAGGTTAAACTATCTAAACGTACAAATGACGGACACTCTCTGGTCCAATTAACGGTCCCCTCAAGGTGATACTGATGTAGCAGAGAACCTTGTACTCCGAATTGGGCTAATATCAACCGTACCCCCTCTTGGGAGGACGTATCATCCAAGACTGACAATATCCGGCGACGGATGAAGACGTTTCCAAAAATTAAATCAGAAGAGCAAGTTTTCCATTTCGCTTTGCTTTCCACATGATGTTTTCCATAAGACGGTCACGAACAGTTCCAGCTTGAATCTTGGTTAAAACGTTGGCCAAGTTCTCAGCGGAAATTATCCATTCAATTTGTAGGATATCAATTGCGCATCTGGAGTGAACATAGTGATATGCGACAGCATTCAACTTCTTTTTCAATTGGGATTCAGGAACACTTGAGTTCTTGACAACGGACATATTGTCAACACAAGTATGACAATAACCTTGGATTGGGACGCCCATCATTCTGAGCTTGAATCGTAGTCCCTCAAGTAATTCAACACCTG